GGCGGCGGCGGCGGCGGCGGCACCGTGCTGCTGCCCTCCATGCTGATGTTCGGCGTGATCCTGGCCTCCAGCGGGCTGCTCCTCATGATCGAGAAGGGTATCCTGGCCGAGGTGAAGCCGCCGCCGCTGCACCCGGCGGCGGGGGAGCTCTCCCGGCGAGGCGGCGGCGGCGAGGAGGAGGAGGCCGGCGGCGAGCTGGAGCGCGAGGTGCTGCGGGACATCCGCAACCGCACCATCCGCGCCGTCTGCGGGCAGCGGGCCATGCCCCGCAGCGTCTGGGAGCTGCCGGCCGGTCAGCGCCGGACGGTCCTCCGGCACCTCCTGGTCAGCGACAAGTACCGCTTCTTGTACTGCTACGTGCCCAAGGTGGCCTGCTCCAACTGGAAGCGCATCCTGAAGGTGCTGGACGGGGCGCTGGAGAGCGTCGACGTCAAGCTGAAGATGGACCACAAGAGCGACCTGGTGTTCCTGGGCGACATGAAGCCGGACGAGATCACCTACCGCCTGAAGAACTACTACAAGTTCGTCTTCGTGCGCAACCCCATGGAGAGGCTGCTGTCGGCCTACAGGAATAAATTTGGGGAGATCAAGGAGTACCAGCAGAAGTACGGGGTGGAGATCGTCAGGCGGTACCGGAAGAACGGGGGGAACTCGGCGGGCGACGACGTGACCTTCTCCGAGTTTCTCCGGTACCTGCTGGACGAGGAGGCGGAGCGGATGAACGAGCACTGGATGCCCATCTACAACCTGTGCCAGCCCTGCGCCGTCAGGTACGACTTCATCGGCTCCTACGAGCGGCTGAACGCGGATGCCAACTACGTCCTCGAGCGAGTCCGGTCGCCCTCCTTCGTCCGCTTCCCCGAGCGGCAGTCGTGGTACAAGCCCGTGACGGCGGAAACGCTCCATTACTACCTGTGCAACACCCAACGCCGCCTGATAAAAGAGCTGTTGCCAAAATACATCCTGGATTTCTCCCTCTTTGCCTACCCCCTTCCCAACATAACCAGCGAATTCTGCAGGCAGTGAGTTGTTCATTCCGGGATCCGGTGTAAATTCTGCCTTCGCTGCACGGATTTGCTAACGCAGCCGTCGCTGCGAATAACACGTTGCCGCAGGGCCCGTGAAACACGCTCTTCTATGCATTATTTCCTAATTTTATACTTTTCAAACACTGTTTATATAAAATATTACACATTGCCTTTGCTACTAGAATACTTTTTGTATTGTTCTGATTTTAACGTGTACATACGCCGCTGACTTGAGCACAATAGCTTTTGTATATCTATTTCGCTTTAAATTCTTTTTTTTATGACAGGACATGAAAAACGCCTGTAAGGAAGTTGAGAAATGGATATATTTTAAGTATTTTTTCCTCCTTTTTTGTGTTTTGTACTGAATAGCGTGCGGCTGAATTGCAGTCATAACGTAGTGGTTGATGCGCTAATAAAAATATAGTGGTTGATACGCTAAAAATTAGCGCTGTTAAAGCTGGTCCTGGATTAGATGGGAGATAGTTCTTTGGGTATGAGTAGAAGAAAAGGCTTTTATAAACTAGGCCCTATTTATCCTTTATTTTCTCATCTGTAGATGGTGGTTAAATGAGGCTGGTCTTTTTTTCTGTGACAGTAGTACCTCTGGTTTTTATTATTATTATTATCATTATTATTAATTATTTACCATTGAAATAAAACTAGAGATAGGATAATAGTCACTTTTGTGCAATTTTAAGATTTGAAAGTACCAACTATTTACCCAACATAACATATGAGGTGCAATATCAAGCCATAACAATTTTCTCTTCTCTCCCTCTCTTTGAATTAAAGCAATACAGACTTCTGATAACATCAAACCCCATCCTGGTTCCTAGGACAAAAAGCAACAAAAACCCCCACCCACAGCATGCCAGCTCACAGCCTTGGTGGGTGTTTGCGTGCCCACGTGCGTGCAAACTACCGTGGAAAAACACTTTCTCTGGCCATGTTTGAAACAATGGCGATTTGAGGATTAGTTCTCCCTTCTTTTATAGAGGTGCGCACCATTTTTGTAGCTACTTGTATTTAATTATGGCTGTTAAACTGTAAAAGTTTGGGAGATAATGTAGAATGTTGTTCCTGGGAGGCTGTGTCCTCGTTTCTAATAAAGTTTTTATATGAATTAGTCTGTTGCTTAGTGCTTTTCCTTAGAGGTGTTTATTTGCATTCTTGGAGAGGCCTTCTGCCCCTCGTGCTAAGCCACGGCGTGCAAGTGTGATGAATAGGCGGTTCTTGCCTTGATGAATTTGTGTTTTAAGTGCCAGAGCAGCGGTAACAAGTGGAGAAAGAAACGCATCCGAGCCAAACGACGAGATGATTATGCGACACAGGCAATTGGATGAAAAGCAGCAGTCGGCAGCAAAATAGGTGCCTAATTGCTGTGGAGTTGATACAAAGCAGTAGGGGTGGATTATAGATACTGCAGGGAGCTGGTGGTTTCCTGGGATTAATCTCTCAAAAAGGGGGAAGGAAAATTAAGGTGTTTTCTTTAGGATTTGTGAAATTGTCAGTAAGAAGGGCAGGGAGCCACATCCACGCAAACTCAAAGCGGTAGGTTGAAAAATCCTGCCTAGGGCACAACTTAATAGTAACTTAATAGATTCACTGTATCTATGAACTCCCGGCAAAATCCCTGTCTCCCTCTGTTGAAGTGGGTAGCCAAGCACAGTTAGAGTCGAGTAATTTTTACCGTTGATAATGGGATCATGGCTGGGCGTGAGAGCAACAACTGGCGCGTTCATGGACTTCAGCTCCTGGCTGCGTCCTTGCCTCTGCAGCCACCTGCCCTGTACAAAAAAAATGGGTTAGGAATTGGCTATGATCTCCTCGTGCCCGATCCGAAGCCTGCAAAAATTTGTGTCCCCAGTGATTTTGGTGACAAGGCAGGAATGTTTGGTGCCCGGTGCTGGAAGAGCTGGAGATCTGTCTTTTTCTCCAGCCAAAGGCACCAGATACCAGCTGGGAATCGGATATTATTTTGTAAAACAGATGCCAATGGCGGGGTGGTCTGAGTTTTAATTAAGCCTGACCTTCAGGTCTCTCTAACTAGGAGTAAGCTGGTTAGGCTTTACTATCTTTGTCTGCTCCTGTGAAGCTGAGAGACCGTTTCCTGCTTGCTTAGCGATTGGCTTTTTAATTAAATGTTTATTTCTCAGTAGTCTTAAAGGTTTGTGCCGCTTGTTTGTTTGTCTGCTGCAGCTTCTGTTCTCTATATTACATTTTTTGTCTCTTGTCCCCTTAATCCAACTGCACACAGAAGGATTTTGCTTTTCTTTGACTGTCTCTTACTCCTTCACTGGATATCATTGATCACCTTTTTCTCTTTAAATAAAAGCAAAAGGCCTCCCACCTCCTGGTACCCTCCCATCAGGAGGGGTTTAATGCAGGCAAAACCTGCAGAACCTCGTAGCTTGGGCAGAAGTTTGTCCCATAGCTGGCAAAAATGTATGGAGTGTGGAAAAGTCTCCCAAAAGCTGAAGCGGGGGGGGCATTTTGTCATCTACCTCTAAACCTCATTTCTAAGCCTTGATCGAGGTTACGGACTATCTTTGACTTTCTAATCTCTCTGTTGCAAGTCAGCAAATATGAAAAATCAATTAGGTTTCCATTAGCGGTACTTCATTTTATCCATGGCCAATAATACAATTTCCTGAGAAAGCTTTTGGCCACGTAGGAAGAAAAAAAAGTACTTTCCCTCAAGAGCTGTATCATTTCTTTCTTTTGTCAGGTGCTTCTCCGGTGTGGAATAAATCAGGAGCAAATTCCACAGCTGACAGCAACTGCTGGAGGTGAGAGACGCTGAGCAGGATCCAGCCCTCCTCTGCGGGAACCTGGAGAGCAGGGAGAGGGGTAACGTCTGCGAAAGGAGGGAGGAGGGGATTTCACAGCAGCTCAAGTACAAATGAGGAGGAAACCATAAAGTTATAAACTGTTTAACATTTCTGATTTCTGATCTGTTCCAGTCTGGCAGCTCCTTTTTCCACCTTTCCATCGCCACACTTGCCGTCACCCAGCAGAATAAAAAGGTGATCTTTTCTCTTTTGAATTATTATATTTTATTAAGCCTCAACACTGTACTGAATGCCCCAAACTTCCCCAAGTGAACAACTTGAGGGTTTGGGCGTTGGGGTTTTGTCACTGCCATTTCCCTCACTTGCTTTTTCTAATTTTGTGTTGGTAAATCCTGGCCCTGACCCTATCGTTCTCATGTTTTCTCCCTAGAAGCATGCATGGATATGTGGAGACGCTCCAGCAGTTTAATTCCACCTCGTTATATGAAGAACTTCTGACTCCCTCTAAATTACCACGGTGTTATTTTATTTTAATTTGTCATTAGTCCCTCCTTAGCCTGCTTACCTAAAAAGAAACAAACAAAAAAAGAAGCGGTTTACGTGCCCATGAATTTTGCCATTTATGTGCATGTGTTTATTCCTCCTTCCCTGGTAGCTTTTGGACCTGCTAACCCATTTCCACCCAAGTTGAGAGGAGAATTTATTTTACTGCATCCTTTCATGGCTCGCAGCTCTTGTGGTTTTAACGTGGTGTTGCAGAAAGGAATCGAGTGCTTTACTCTTGTTGTGTGAGTGCTGGTGATGAATGGGGACCTAATGATTTCTCTTTCCCTTGAATCAGCACCTGCACAACATCCAGAGCCATGTGCCCTTCCCCGCTGTGATACGGAGCAATGCTTTTTGCACAGAAGTCCCTTTAGTCCCACAGATGCTGAAGCTGTCTTCTGCTAATACTTTTCTGCCAGAGAAATCAGCCCTTTCCACCTCATGGCCATTTGCATCACCCTAAGGTGACTAAGGCACTTTAACGGTTGATTTTGTCCTAGCGCTTGGCTGCTAATTGCAGGGAAACTTCCAAGATGTTTTACAGATGCTTTAATCCCCTGTTTAGGAAATGCTATGATGGGAGAAGGCAACGGATGAAGAGTCCGGCAGGGAAAAATCTCTCTCATAAGGTCAAGTTCCCCAAGTTCACGTTGCCAAATACCTCGCCCATGACGTGGTTATTTTGCAGGTGGAGAGTCACGCTTGGTGCCCGTTCAGTCCTGGTCTGCTTGTTGGCAACTGTTGTGCGTAACTCCAGGCAGGAATATGTTTCTATATTTTATTATATTATTATATATATTATGAGGATTACATAGATTTAACAATGTGAGGTTTTGTGCTAGAGAGAGGACAGGGGCATAAAATTGTTTTTCTCAGGGATTTAATGATTAAAGATAACTGTCCATCACTGCTCGGTGTATTGTCTTCCACCCTGTCTTGTGTATCCGTGTCTGTCCAGTTCACTGCCATTTCTTTTTGCTGAAAGGAAAAAAGACCCAACAGCAAGCAAGCAACATTTTCCAAAGCCAATTACCAGCTTCCTACATTGTTGTAACTCACTGTTACAGGATGCAATCGCAAAGAATTCCCCGTTTATACAGGTATGCATTTATGCCGTGCTAATTTCTGTGATGTCTCTTTGCTTTAGAAGTTCATTACAGTCAGGTGCTTTATCTACATATAAACATAAACCAGCATATTCTTGCCTCGCACAAAGAACTAAAAATAGGCAATTGTAACCTGTCATGATTATTTTTCTTAATTCATTTCCTGGGTTATTTCCCATAGTTCACCTGTTATACCTGATATTTATTTACTTGCTCATGGAAAAGTCTGGCTAAGGTGATCCTCCTGTGAAATGAGACCCGTGGATTCAGTTGCTTAATGATCTCAATTTCTGCAGTGCTGGGAGAACTGTAGCTCTGAGCAATTCCATCAGGAATGATCACTGGCATGCGGGAAAACCTCTCCATGCAGGAGGGAAGGTCCCTGTTTCCCAGTGATTAACCAGCATGTAGGGTGTTTTCTGAGAGGCGTGCAAAATTGATCCCTGTTCTGTCCTTATGTTGTTTAAATAATTGCAGCGAACATGTTTAATACCTTCAGCATTGTGCTTGGACTACAACGGTGGAGAAGAAGAGAGCCATTTGATTTTTGGCATTTGGAGCTGCTGGTTTGGTATTCCCCTTTGGATGAGGGAGCAGGACAGGTTAGGATCCTTTGCTGTTCCAAAAATCTCGTTTTATGTGTCATCTTTTTTACCGATTCCCGTGTTATGCCTGCAAAGCCTCATTTCAGTGTACCTAAAACCCAGGCAGTTGGCTGTTTGCAGTGCAACGCCAGGAATGGGTATTGAAGCTCAGTGGTTTCACAGCACACAGGAGAAATTACTTTAACCTGGATGATTCGGGAGGGTGCATCAGCCACCGGCAGCAGAGACAGCTCTGGTGACGAGGAACACTCGCTGAGCTAAAATTTGGCATCCACAACCTGGTGTCTTTGAATTTCTAAACCAGGGTCATTGCAGTCAGCCACTCGCAGAAAGAAAAGGGTTTTAAACATGTTCCCTCTGGTCTCCACACTGAGTTCCAGGGTGTATGTCAGATTTTTCCACTTTCCTCTGGGGCTTTTCCTATTGCTTTTGCAGAAATAACTAACATCCTTGCCAGGCACTGGTGCTGAAGTAAATGCATTAACGCTGCCAGTCGCCTTGCTGGCTGGTAGCCATGA